GTGTCGATTTTTTTTTTTGGCATTGTGTTAGGTGGATCGGTTACCAGCTTTGTGTCTGATTTTCCACCTGTCAAAATGTTTTTATTTAAATAAATAAATAAATGACTCGCACTAAAAGGACGTCAAAATAAGCCATAGCAACTAGGGTTCACAGCAGTTCAAAATAAAACTTGACTATAAAGTGAATTCGCTGATAATTTGCAAAGACCTTTGGATTGCTGGTTTGAGATTAGGTTGACCAGCTACAGTGACATGAAGTGAGGGCATTAGTAACCAAGACACCTTTTTGCATTGCTTATTTCAATTTCAGAGACTGATGGGGGTGGGAGGGAGGAAGAGGAGGAAGAGCTGTTTGTCCACTAGCTGAAAGTCATGACTGTTAAGGCATACATTTAATCCCAAAGATTAGAGAATCCTACCCTATTTTCCTCCTCCCATTCTTCCAGAAATGGGGCTAGTAACTGTCTTTTGCAGCCTTGCAAAGAAGGTTTTATAAATAAGCCAGCATGTGGGCCACAGTGAGTTGTTGTCACCTGTGAAGTGACAACAGAAGCTGTACAGGTGCTGGCCGTGCTGCTTATCGCAGCCCTAGGGGCAGAGCCTCTCACTCGGACCAGGGCAAACCATCCAGGTCTTAAATGGTCCTTTGCCTTTTGTGGTCTGGGAACTTGTGCCTCAGAGCTTATCCGGACAGTCCAGTTCCCTTTTTGAAGGAAAATGACCTGGAAGCCAGTGCTCCTGAATACAGGAGGACAGGAGGCTACTGCAGCCAGGGGAGGAATCGCTGGATACCTGGATGCAGGAGCGCTTTCGATATGGGTAGTTGAGCTTGCTGCAGCACTGAATCGCTGCTGCTAGCACAGCTGCTCCCACACTCCTTGGCTTATATCCTTTCCTTTAGCCTTTTGTCCCGCACTTGATGCTGGCTGTGGTTTAGGGTATTACCAGTAGCCCTCAGAGGGGCTGGAAATGTCGATGGTGTTTTGTCAGTGCTGCTAGTTTCCCCCATGCCTCGTGTCAGCGCTCTGCAGCCATGTCGCAGGGGTGGCCCGCTGCGTTTCCCTGCGAGAGAGCCCTGCACGGGTGGCAGGTGTGTTTCCATGCCTGTGCAGCCATAAAGCATGGGCACTCTCAATGGAAAGTCTTGCTAGCGACCCAGATGACACTGGGACCTTCTGTCTTGCAGAGGAGGAGGTAGGCAGAGCTGCCTCGCCAACGGCCACAGAGGCAATGTGTTGCTTCACCCTAAGATGTCATGTGCTTGCTTGGCAGGAAGAAAGTTGGTTTAATCGAGACAGAGAATTACATGAGACCTGTGGTTTTCTCAGGCCACGTTGCTTCAAGTGAAGATGGCCACTTTCCCCTTTCAGGTCTTGAGAGCATCTGGCTCTGAGGACTTGTGGAGCCAAGGAGGGCCTCTTGAATGTTTTCCAAGTTCTGAGAGTTCTCACGCCTTGGTGCAGCGAGCTTCCCGAGAGGCCTGGAAACTCAGAGTTTTCTCCAATTAAAAAACCTTCACGCCATCAAAATAACTGTCTGAGCACTGTAGCGTTTCCAGCAAAGAGATGGGGAACCGGGCAGACTTTTCATTCTGATGAGTCACTGACTCTCTCCTGATTTGCCTCTTGTAAGAGCTGTTTGGGCAGCTGCTGATGCAGGAACATGATTCTGAGTGATGGTCCCTGGGGAGCAGGACGGGGCTGCACGCTTCTTCACCTCTGAACTGGTGGAGAGTTCGTCTGCCCAGCTCTTCAATCAGTAAAGCCTTGCTGACAGCTGTGGCTCTTGCCTGCCTCGATCCTGCCTCATAAGGAGTGCTGGGGAGGAGGCGGGGTGTTGCTGCAGAGTAACAAAATGCCCAAGTGCTTTCTCTAGTCCTAAAAGCGTCAGTTGGAAACCAGAAGGTCTGATGCCTTATGCTGCTAAATCTCCTTATAACCCCGTTGCAGCTGGAGGTTTTGTCATGAAGAAAGAGCGTGGCCCCTCTCTGGGACCCTAGAGCTGTCCGTAGCCATATCCGTTCCCAGGACCACTCTTCACTGCTCTGTAGGTGGCCCCCAGATCATTCTTGTGTGATTTTACGATGCCCATGTCTGCCTGAGAGAGATCGTGGAAGCTAGGCAGTTTCTGCTCTGGAGATGTTGAGGATGAAGGGACTACAAATATGTGACTCATTTTTGAGGGAAGAACAATGTGAAATCACATTAATGAAGTCAAGAGTCTTGTCAGGAAAAGCTTTTATCTTCCATTGCTCACTTTTTGTGCCTGTGACTCTATATAAAATCAGATTGCTGGTGGGGTGGGGACTCGCAGACAGAGAAGAGAGCCTGGTACGCTCCCAGCTTGCTCTGCGAGCTCTTTATTAATACTTAATATGACTTGGATGCACACAGGGATCTTATCTGTTGGAGTAAAGGGTCATGGGCACTTTTTTCCTTGTTGGCATTTTTTTCACAGTAGAGTCATGTTTTTGTTTGTTAGTTGAAAACTGTAAAATGGCTTTTTCCCATGTCTCTCCTCAAAAAGGAGGACTGTTGATTAGTTCAAGGCCAAAAAAAGCAGACTTGGAGTCAAACTGATCTGTAATCTCACTGCTTTGTTTAACTTCATCTGGGGAGCTTCAGTTTTGTGTGGCCAGTTTTACAGAACAAAAGCAAACAAAAGAGGAATAGTTCTTAGGCAGATACTGCTCTCACAGACACCTACCTAATTTGATCAGACTCCAGTGAAGTTATTTAAAGCTTGGCTTGTGGAACTGCCTAGTCTATATGTTCATGGATCACTGTGAAAGGACTTACTCATGTGCATTTAAAATACGGTGCACTGATGTTAAGGAGGGCTCATTTCCATGCAATTTTTTTTTTTTTTACTGGTGAAAACCTGCTGTATACTGGTTTGCAAAACCAGAGGGTAGAAGTGTGGTTACTCAGTGTCCAAGTGTCTGTATTGGCGAGTATGTGAAGCGTACTAATGGGATAATACTAATGAGAGCTCTTAAATTATTTACATGAATTACTGAGTGTGGCATAAAATACATTCTGCTGCTAATACCACTAATTAGACCACCAACATATTGCATCCTTCATCATAAATATCCTGTAGGTTGAATCAAAGCTGTTGTTTTAGGCTCCAGAGTCCCTGTAATAGTTTAATTTAGCTTTAAAAGGCTTTCAAAGTTGCTTCTTTTAGAGGTTTTTCTCAATTTTTTCTTCACCTTAGCTGCTTGTGTAAAGTGTCTGGATGCCCTAAGTGAATTCTGCGTTGTCTGTTGCTGCCTCTGCTCATCTTGTGCATGCAGGATAATTTTCTTCTGCTTATATTTAATTCCTGAGATATAAATATTCCCACATAAAACTCTAGAACATTCTAGAGAAAGTTCTCATAATTTAGAGTCTTGACTAGAGAGGTAAGGAAAGCTTCAGTTTTCTGTTGTGTTGTCATTGGAATTACAATGAGAGTTTTGAAGGCTGCCAAAACACATTATTTTCCTCCAAACCTGAATCATCCAATGTTTGCTCTCTCCTTTCATGCAGTTTCACAACTCCTTTTTTTCATTTGGTTTGTGGGGTTTTTTTCCTCCCCCTCTATGATCTCAGGTATACTTTTTTTTTTAATTTTGAGAATTGGTGATTGAAGTAAAGACAAAGGATGGGAAATATTAATAAAAAGAATAATTCTTTGAGGGACTTTGTTAGAATATTTCTCCTGTACACTGCGTTCATGGTGACAGTGGCATGACTCATTGAGCAAACTTCCTGGCATTTCTGCCAGCTGTGATTTCTCAGGGTTTTAAAGGAGGTGATAACTGAATTATAAATAGATTATAGGTTCCATCTGTAAATTTTGAAGCTAGATCCAGAGCTTCCCAGAAGGTGAGGGTGCTCTTCTGGACCCTGGATTAGTTCTGGCTATGATATTTTGCCAAAAGGGCAGCTGATTGGTTTTCAGACATGCAGACACACCAGAGTCCTTGTAGTGAGATGTTCACTCACTCTCTTGATCGTGTGCAGCACGAGCGCTTGGAATGTCTTCCAGATTCGCACGCCGGTTCAACTCCTCACTCATTTAAGTCTGCAAGCCATTAGAAATGTACCTGAATGCCAGTGAAATAAAGGCAAAATCGTAAGGGAAGTGTTGAAGTCTGTGCCAGAGAGTCCATTTTGTTACTGATACTCCAAGTTGCTCAGCCTCTCTCATACCAGTCCACTTTAAGGAAGTGATTTAAATGCGTAATTTAAAATAAATAGATATTTATAAGCTTACTTTTTAGTTTTTCTTGGGGGCTGGGATATGTGCATTTGAACTGTGTGCATACATGTGTGTTTTGCTGTGCTGCTCTCCTCACTAGAACCGCTTTTAATGGACCTCCTGCCATCATGTCAGTCGGGCTTTCTTAGCACAGGAGGGAGCTGAACCATGCAATTAACTTCATGGAGACCCGTCTGTCTGTTCAGAGCTCTGGCAGAGGGGGGGTCCCTAATTACTTACCAGCATCACAGCTTGTCGAGTGACATGTTGGAGAGTTAAAAGGGCCTGTGAAGCTCTAGTAGCTCCTTGCACCAAAGCAGGGAGAGGGCTCTTCCCAGGCTTGCTTTTGAAAGGAGACACACAGTTGTGCGGTCTTCGGAGCTGGAGATGCTCGGTGGTGCTTTCCAGCCAACAGGAAGTTCTAGCAGCCGCTGATGGCTAATTTAAGCAGCCGCTTTTTAAAGACACAGCGTCAAGTGCCGTCCCTTCTGTGTATGCAAGCGGATGCTGCTCTGGTGCTGTTGCAGTGGCACAGTGTTTTAGGGTGGCAGTGGGTGTCCCACAGGGCTCTTGGGTGTATGGGAGTGGCTTCCTTTGGCATGAGCTCACTCAGCTGGTGTGTGGATGACCAGCAGTTCGCAGATTAAGTGGTGTTTCTGCCTCCTTTGCAGTCCTGGGAACGCTTCGGGATCATCGTCTGGGTCTCAGGGCACAGCCTGCAAGAGGCACTGGAAGTGGATTGGTACCTGGTCATGCCCGGTGGAAGGAGGGGACCCAGCCGGCAGCAGCTAAGCCGTTCAGCTTTGCCTTCTCTCCAGACGCTCGTTGGTGGGAGCTGCGGAAACGGTACTGGTTTGAGAAACAGGTGAGGACAAAGGTAGGGTTGTTGAGACACTTGAGGCTAGGATACTGCTAAAAGCCAGGAGCCTTGATCTGCTCCGAACTCTGCATGGGAGTGCGGCTTCGTGGTTTGTATTGGTTTAACCCTGGCTGGCAGCCAGGTGCCCACACAGCTGCACTATCACTCCCCCTTTTCTGCTAGACAGGGGGAGAAAATATAACGAAGGGCTCATGGTTTGAGATAAGCACAGGGAGGTCACCCACATCTACCATCCTGGACAAAACAGACTCGATTTTGGGGAAATTAGTTAAGTTTATTAAAGAACAAATCAGAGAAGAGTAATGAGAAGTAAAATAGATCTTAAAAAAAAAAAGAAAATAACACCTTCCCCCCTTCCTTCTTCCCGGGCTTAACATCAGTCCCAATTTGTCCACCTCCTCACCCCAACCGGCGCAGGGGGACAGGGAATGGGGGTTGCGGTTAGTTCATCTGATGTTGTCTCCACCAATCCTTCCTCTGGGGGAGGACTCTTCACTCTTCCCCTGGGCCTTTGTGGGGTCCCTTTCACTTGAGATGATCTTTACGTGCTTTCTCCAACATGAATCCTCTCATGAGAGACAGTTCTTGACAAACTGCCCCAACATGAGTCTCTTCATGGGGACTCTCCACAGTCCTTCAGGGGGAAACTGCTTCAGCGCAAGTCCCCCCGTGTTGTCACAAAAGTCCCACTAGCCAACCTGCTCCAGCGTGGGCTTCTCTCACCACAGGCTACATGCTCTGGCAGCGACCTGCTCCAGCGTGGGCTTCCCACGGGACTACAGCCCCCTTCAGGCATCCACCTGCTCCGGCGTGGGGTCCTCCATGGGCCACAGGTGGACATCTACACCCGGTCACCTCCATGGGCTGCAGTGAGACAGCCCGCTTCACCGTGGTCTTCACCAAGACCTGGGGGATTCTCTGCTCTGGCACCTGGAGCACATCCTTCCCCCGCTTCTTCACTGACCTTGGTGTCTCCACATATTCTCACTCCTGTGTCTCTCTGCCAGTTGTTGTGTGGCGAAGTTCTTTTTTCCCATGTTTCTTAAACATGTTATCACAGAGTTGTTCCTCTCCTATCATTTTACTGACAGGCTCAGCCTTGGCCAGCAGCGGGTCCGTCTTCGGAGCCAGCTGGCATTGGCTCTGTCAGACTTAGGGGAAACTTCTAGCAGCTTCTTGCAGAAGCCACCCCTACAGCCCCTCCATCACTGAAATCCGGCCAGGCAAACCCAATACGTGGTTAAAGCAAGGAACTGGGAGATGGGAACCTCAAGCCCTCTGTTGTGGCATTAGGATATGGTCCATCCAAGAGGGAATATGCCCTGCATGCTAGACCTCTTCCAGCTTCTCTTCCCAGCTCAGTGGTGGCATGTGCTTCCCTCTACAGCCTTTCTCTTGACTTTATGCATTAAAGTCAGCCCCATGGGGAGGACTGTGGAAGTGGTCTCAGTCACCATTCACTGTGGTCACAATGACCAGGGCTGGAAATTGCATGGTACTTGGTTTGTCTTTCTCTGCAGCAGCTCGCAGAGCAGTGAGTCCTAGCAGATGATGAGTCCTTGTCTCTCTCTTGTTTGCTTGCCTGCAGTGCCACAGGGAGTTAGCGTGTTAGAGCTCAGCTGTAAGCCCCCTTCCTGCATGACAGAAAGGCAGGTCAGGAGGATGCCTGTATTCTGTTTTAGCCCTACTGGCTGCGGATGAAACTAATTCTCTCAGTTGGCAAAGCTTGGCTCCATTTTCTAGGGAAGTTGGGGGCTGAAAAAGGAACATGTAGTGACACTTAGATCTCCACATTTGGCATAAAGATTAAAAGGGCCCAGCATTACTTCCTTCCATTCAGAAATTAGCAGACCAGAGAAGCTATCTGCTGCATGTTGAGGCCTTGATCTACTTGGTATAAGTTCATCCTTGCAGAATAGAGAGATCCAGACCGTTTAGCTTGGCCTTTAAAGAGTTCTCATCTGGGACAGAGGGATGGATGGATGGCATAGTCTTGGATTCTTGAGGAACAAGTGACTGTTGAGACCATGGAGTCAGTGTCCCAAGGCCCTGGAGGAGCATTGCTTATCCTGGTTTCAGTCAGGCTCAGCATAGTTTATGTCTGAACATCCCCGATCGGTTCAGTCTGCCAGAGCTTTTCGTTGTCCCAGCCTCCTCTGAAGGCTAGGAAAGAGGGAAGTGTGAGAACACTTGAGAGGTCAGCCTCTAGGAAGTGGCTGAACTTCTCTGTTCCATTTTTAGTTACCTCTCTTTTTAAGAGAGGAACTGTGAGCAGAAGGATGTTGGGCACTTTGCTATGCTGGAGAAGGAGGCTGGATGCTACTGTGATGTCCCAGTGATGGGTGGAAGGAGCCAAAGTTAAGTGCTCAGTCTGGCACAGAGTCCTCAATGATTTTTGCTTGGAGTTGCTCCCTCACCATGTACCTCTGTTCCTCCATCTACAAGGGCATGTCACAGCACCTCTGGCAGACCAGTCTGTTGTCTAGAGAAAATGCTGGATGGGGGTTTTTGTCTGAGCTAAGAAGACGATGAAGCTCACCCCACTGGTCTTGTGCCAGAAATACAAATGCAAGACTGCTGCCATCTCTCCTCTAGCAATACCCGGTCCCAAATGCACAACCACAAGCACTCCCTGACCTGGAAAATGGTAAAGATGATGTAGAAAGTTTACCAAGTGTATGATACTTGTCTGCTTCAGGAATGGTAGCGCCATCAGCCTCTCTGCACCTCCGATCACAGCGCTGATTACTCCAGAGCCTGTACGTCACTGCCGGATCCCTGAGCTGCCGTTGGATGGGAGCCTTCTCTTTGAATTCCTGTTCTTCATCTACCTACTGGTAGCCCTCTTCATTCAGTACATCAATATCTACAAGACTGTTTGGTGGTACCCGTACAATCACCCTGCTTCCTGCACCTCACTGGTGAGTTCCCCAGCAAATGCCGTCGTTCACGTTTTGTCATTACTCAGCTGCTTTCTGTGCTGCTTCAGTCCAGGAATCGCCATGCATTTGACATAAGGGGGTGAAGGGAAGTTCACATGCACACTCATCAGCCGGGGCCACGTCATCCCCCATTTTACATGGGAGAAAAATACATGGAAGGTGAGAGGAAGAGGTGTCAGCAGGGCTCCTTCAGTGGAAATTTCTTGCAGAAATTTCCTGTGTGGCCTAGCTAGTCTCTAGGGTTTGAAATGGAGTTGAGACCCCAGGAGCCTGCTGTGGGTGCCCCCGTCCCAGTAGAAACAACAGCGCCTGAGAGAAGGGAGACAATGGAAGTTTTCATGAGGATCTCACAGCAGGTCAGCAGCAGAGGAGGTTGTCAGGTCCTTATGTAAACTTTACAATCTCCTCCATTTCAGTCTTCTTCCTGGCCCAATAAGCTGTACAACGTGGCAGTGACCTGTACGTGAGTCGGCAAACCTCATCTGAGTGAAACTAGCCTCTGAAGTGGTCCTCCAGCTTATACTGTGTCCTTGCTGCTTGGAAGTATGAGGTGGTTCCTTAGTTATCTGTACCGACAGGTGGGGCTGGTGTTCCAGTCACGCAGCTATTAGTTTCAAGTTCAGCTGTGCTATGCTGGACACAGCTTGCTTTGAAGAAAAAGCATTGTTTTAGGCTTCCTACCTGAAAGGATTTAATGTCATACGTTTGTTCCCATTAGAAGTCAAGCATTTTTGTTTACCCAAAATGTCCTTGAAGTCCCAGACAGCAGTATTCAAAGTCTGCTAACTGTTGTACCCAGCAGACATTTGATGGCTTCACTGAAAAATCATAAGGGCTCCAAGAGCTCTATCTAACTTAATACAGCCAGAGTCAACATAAGTTTCCAGTAGGAATCTATGGCCCACAAAGATGAGATTTCTTGGATTAACTTAATTATGAAGGAGCGCTAGTCACTAATGGCCCATTTCTGAGACCAAGAGCTAAAGTGAGCTGATGTGCTCACTCTGGACTCCAGCTCAGCTGCCCTTGCTCTGGTTGCTCAGTAGCTTTTCCCAGGAGAACTTGCAGGGAAGTAGGATCCTGGTCCTACATCTCCCTTTGACCTCAGAAATACTTGCCCGAAGGGTGGGTTTGTTTTGGTTTGTTTTCAGTGGAAATTTTTCTAGGGCAAGAAACTTCCATGAGGGGTAAACATTCTGGAGACATTTCTGTGTTTCTCTCTCATCCCTAACAGAGAGGCTTGAGGAATGCTTACACGAGGTCCTAACGCTCTCTCAGCACACAGCTTTCCAGTCCCACCCCGGCTGGGTAATTTCAGAGTCCCTAGTGAAGACCTTTTCTTTTTCCTCCTTCAGAATTTTCACCTCATTGACTACCACCTGGCGGCATTCATCACAGTGATGCTGGCACGGAGGCTGGTGTGGGCCCTCATCTCTGAGGTAACATTCCCACTGTTCCTTCTCCTGCCTACAGTTCTGACTGCAGAGCATGACCATCCATGACCTGAAAAAGTTCTGCAAGTTGGATAGATGGAGGGTTTCTTTCCCCCAGAACATCTGAGTGTGAAGGACTAATATTTTGGGGGTGCCCTTCTGCTTTGGAGTTTTCTCCTCAGCCCATTCACGTCCTGCAGTATTGGGTAACTTTGTTGCCTCTGCAGCTGGAAGGAGATGAAATTGTCCCACTTGTTGCTTTCTCCCTGAAGGTGCAACACTGTACCTCACTATCTCGTGCCAGAGAAATGGCTGAGAGAATTGCAAGTTACCTAGCAGAAAGGCAAATAGAGAGGTTAGCTGAGAGTTGAAGAAGAGGAGTTTAGAGGGAAAAGATCAGGAGGAGGATGTCTGAGTACACTAAAGTGAAATACAAATGGCTAGCAGAACTGCTTTTCCAGTCCTGGCTGCTCAATAACTCTTTGGTCATGTCATCACGGATTTTGAGACCCTCTCTGTGTTTGTGAGAGCAGAACCAAGCCAAATACATATCTGAGCAAGGTCATTTTGAGGCAAATGGAAGTTCTCTCCACTGAAATGGTTAATACAACTCCAGGCTAAGCAATATGTTTAAAAAAAATATTTAAAGGAACAGTTATTTCAAGTTGAATAGTTGGCTGGAGAAGATGGGATCTCTGAAGTTCTTTTCTCATCTCTGATTCCTGCCATTTTCATTTATGCTCACATCCTCTGTAAAAATTCCCAGACTGAAATTTCTGCATTGAAAGCTTCCATGTAAGTTCTTGTACCTCCCACCTACTAGCTCTAACACTTCAGAATTTTTTTATACTTCAGTTGCTTTCTCCCCTCTGGAGACTGGAATAAGCTTTCCCGCTATTCTTTTGTCTTCCCACTAGACTTCCCCTCATCCAGTAGAGATGAGTGGTAGAAATCTAGTTTTGGGGTTTCCGAGGTGCACAATCTTCTCTTCCCTCACTTGAGAACTGTGATGTTCCAGTTCTTTAGTAAAACAAAGGCTGAGACCTGACCCTTCTAAAGGAAACCGCAAGACAAAATGTGGTTCAGACTACCCTGAGCAATAAGGGACTTGAGCAAAAATACTTTCTACTTTACAGCTCTGAATCTTTCTTTTTTTTAAAGGCCTTATTTTAGTCACGCCCTACAACTTGTGTTTATTTGAATCTTTTCAATTCTATCAATCATTAATAAAATCAAAGGCATTCACCTTTGTAAGAGAGTGAGTCTCCTACTTCTGTGAGGAAGAGGGCAACCATCCCTCTTGCAGTGCCTCCTAGCACCCCTCTCTCTGCTCCTCCTCCGCAGGCAACCGCTGAGCTCACGTCCTAGTACTGGTATTATAGGGCTGCTGAGTATTTCTTCTCTGTTTGCAGGCCTCTCAGGTGGGTGCGACATCAGTGATTCACTACATGGTGCGCCTGGTGCTGCTCACCTTCTGTGGATGGGTGCTCTGCTGGACTTTGGTCAACCTCTTCTGCAGCCATTCCGTTCTTAACCTTCTCTTCCTGGGCTACCCGTGAGTGACAACCACTCTGTACTTCTGGGCAGGGGGAACAGAGCTGTGTGGGGGTGCCACGAGCCACCACTGGCAGCAGAGCCCTCGGCTGTAATCTGTCTCCTCAGCTTACGATTAAAGGGGAAGGAGGAATGGCTGCGGGATTGACGTGAGGAGGTGGCACTGAGCTGACGAAGCAAATTGCCTCAATACGCTGTTTGTGTGAGGGGCCTTTGCCATGACTGAAGACTGAACCATTTACATCAGTGGTTCCAGAAATGGGATAGTAAGAGGCTTCTCTGCACAGTTCTTGAAGCTGCAGCCTCTGCCCTTCTGTGGGGGAGAAGAGTTGGCCACAGGCTTCTGGAGTGAGGGTTCCTATGCAGTGTCCCCCTCGTAAGGACCAACATCTGTGGAGATGGTGCCCCCTGCTTCATGTTGGGATGGCTGTCATTTGAGTCCTTTCTTTCTTTCTTTCCCTGCAGGTTTGGTGTCTACGTTCCTCTGTGCTGCTTCCACCAGGATAGCAGAGCGCAGCCCTTGCCTGCAGACTGTGGTTATTTGGACCAGATGGTGGATGATGGGGCTTCAGCTGTCAGCAGCCTGGTCAAACCCAAAGATTTCCTCTCGCTTCTGTGGGAATCCCTGAGAGAACAGTTCAATAATCCTACGTCCATCCCCACCCACAGCTGCCCCCTCTCCCCAGATCTCATCCGCAATGAGGTGGAGTGCTTAAAAGCAGACTTCAACCGCAGGATCAAGGAAGTTCTCTTCAATTCTCTCTTCAGTGCCTACTACGTGGCGTTCCTGCCACTGTGTTTTGTGAAGGTAGCTCCTGTTTGGCTCTCTTTGTGCCCCTGCCCATCGTCTCCTTCTGAATGTTGTGTGAATTACTGCCAGGCCAGATTCCTGGTTAATTCCCCTTTTCTCTGTCTCCCCTTCGGCAGCCCGGATAGCGGAGCATGGCTGCATCCGGAGTGCACTAGTACTGCTCCTGGTTGGCGGATAGGTATTGCCATAAATGTGATGCACCTCTAGTCCCATCACCCCACGTACTAACTCCCCTTCTCCCGCCCCCTGTCCTAGGCAGATGGATAGTTGTGTTCTTCGTAGAAAAGGAAACGTGTGGTTACCTGTCTCAGATCCAACATCCTGGCTTCCAAGTGCTTGGATCAGAGGCTTTAGTGGTCAGCCTTTTAGAAAACAGAGCCAACTAGGATGCTTGGCAAGCTAAACCCAAGAACCTCTTATCAGTGTGGGGGCTGTATTGTTTCATCTCTTGTTTTTCTAACCTGAATGAGCTCCAGTTGGTGTAGTGAAACGGGCAGGGCTCCACAATCCATGTAGCAGTCATGGTGCAGTTGGTGCTCCTGGGGCAGTTCTGTGGCAAGCAAACCCCCTTGTTATCTGTTGCTGGAGAAGGAGATGCACCAGCTGCAGCATCATCCCCCCGCCCTTTTTCCTTCAGGTCAAGGAGAAGGGAGTCTTGAGTGTTCCCTAAGCTGTAACCCTCCGCAACCACTGGTCCAAAAGCGCATGCCTGTAATGTGTGGTGTGGGTCTGCTGGATGCACACGCAGTACGTCCCTTGTCATTCCTTCCTCTGTTTTTTTGACAGTGGTGCCAAATTCTTGTCCGGTCTCTTTGCAGAGCACTCAGTACTACGACATGCGCTGGTCCTGTGAGCACCTCATCATGGTGTGGATCAATGCCTTTGTCATGCTTACCACTCAGCTGCTGCCTCCCAAGTACTGTGACCTGCTCCACAGATCAGCTGCCCACCTTGGCAAGTGGCAGAAACTAGAGCATGGTTCCTACAGCAATGCTCCACAGCATATGTGAGTGTGGGGATGAGGAGGGGTTGGCATGCCCAGCAAGGGGCCAGGAAGGTGTTCCAGTAGATAAGCAAGTATCAGCATTGCTTATCTACTGAGGACACTTCATTCCTCGTGCAACTCTGCCGGTCTTTGCGGTTCTTAGAAACAGAACTGTCTGCTCTAGAGAGCTGTCTGAGGCTCCCCTGGTCAGTTCTGGCTCTTCCCCAGAAACGATTGCTAAGATTCTTCTTGGACACCGGAGAAGTAGCTTGGACAGAGTGTGGTCCTCTCCAAGGCAGTGGGCTAGGTTCTTGCACTGAGAGCTGTTTGTTCACATTACTCATTCTGAGTCCACCTGGTGGGCCTGTGATCACCCCTCTGTACTTCTCTGCTGGGAACTGGGACGCTTGGCCTCATGGCAGAGGCTTTGGTGTTTTCCAAGATGCAGTCCATTCCTGTGAAGCCACGTTGCTAATGCTCTGGCATTCTTTCCCCACAGCTGGTCAGAAAACACAATATGGCCTCAAGGAGTACTGGTGCGACGTAGCCGATGTCTGTACAAAGCAGTTGGGCCTTACAACGTAGCAGTGCCTTCAGATGTGTCCCACGCCCGCTTTTACGCAAGTATCTCTTCTCTCGCTCAGTGAGTTAGGATGGTGGGAGGGAAGAGAGGCTCCAACCTAGCTGCAGCTGAGCGGCTTGCACAGTGCAGCGCAACCGCAAAATCCCCCTTTGTAGCAGAAAGTCTTCCCCATTGCAATGACAGTGATGTCTGGGCAAGATGGAAGCCACAGCTGCCTCGTTAGGGCTTTCTCCTCACACTGATGCAGCTCTCCCATCAGGCAGTGGCATATTCCTTAAGAGGGTTCTAATTAACATCTTCCAGAGAAATGGGAAAGTATGTCAGCTAGCCAAGTGGTTATTTCACCTGTCCTCCCCTCCTCAAGCAAAGTGACACTTCCACACACCTCGTTTCGTATGCTGCTTTCCCGCCAAGTACAGGCGTTTCATCTGACCAGCACCACGGTTGCTGGCTCAGTGGTGCCCAGCAACGTTACGTACGTACGTACCTCTCCCCACTTCAACAAGTTACAGAAATCTGTCCTTTTTAACTGTTTTAAGTCCCTTTGCCACCGTCCGTTACGGCTGCTCAACCTGCTGATTCTCATCGAAGGCAGCGTGGTCTGCTACCAGCTCTACTCGCTGCTGCGCTCAGAGAAGTGGAACCATACCCTCTCCATGGCCCTCATCCTTTTCTGCAATTACTACGTCTTATTTAAGCTCCTCCGGGACCGGATAGTATTAGGCAGGGCATACTCCTACCCACTTAACAACTATGGACTGAAGGCACACTAGTCAGAAGAAAAAGAAAAAAAATATTTTCGTACAGTTCTATTTTTTTCTTGCGGCGTTTATAAATATTTAAAATATTTTATATTTTGTATACTATTGTTTTTGTGGGGTGGGAAGGGAACCAGTGGCAATTAAATGTCGCTTTATAAACAAGGTGTTATTTTATATATATAAAAAAAAAAAAACCCGTGTGTATATACCGTATATCTATACCCATACATATATCTATGTGAAGCAACAGGATTGTGTGTGTGGTCACTGTGTCTGCTTTGCTCACACAACTGCCTTGCTACTGCATTCTGTGGGGATAGACCTGCTGTTAATTAGGAACCGGTCTGCTGCAGAACTTGAATAAGCCAACAGACAGGGGAAGAAAGGAAACACAGGGGCCTTTCACCAGGATGAGTCAAGTTTATCTTGGTCAACTCAGTACCCGGGAAGTTTTGCACTGGAAAATGTGCACAGATGCGATACCAGTTTAGGAAAAGGGAGGAAGCGGTGTATAGAAAGACAAAGTTAGTGTCAAGCCAGTAAAAGCTCTCAGTTCTTCCTTCTTGATGCTGTTAGCAGGATGCAAATATCGTTTTAAAAAAAGAACAAGCTCCTTTTCATTTGAGCTTCTCTCTGTCCTCCTAGTAACTTGAGCTCCCTCATTCTACCCAGAGAATGAACTAAATATTGAAATTACAGTTTCAGGGTAGTGTATAATTTGGGAAATGTTAAATAAATAGCTTCATCTAGCAGTACAGTAATTGATTATTTTAAACATCCATCTCTAATCCCCTGAGTAATAGCATTAAATTAGGCAACATTCAGCCAGTTCCTTAAAGCAATAATGCTCCTGGCAGAAATTTAGTCTTCTCCAACACTTACCAACTCCCTTATTGCTGTACAATGCATTTCAGTAGTGTTTCACTTTAAGGTATGTTGGTAGTTTTAAATAACTTATTAATAATAATAGAAGAAATATTTTGCTTTTAAACTGTTCTTCATAAAGCTGTACTAGAATCTAGTGAAAAAAGCTGTAATATCACATAAAGGAATTGAAGATCAAAGACAGTATCAAACATATAATTAATTTAAATGTGAATGCTGGTGATAACTGATAGTTGTAGTTGATGCTTTAAATTGTGTGATTAAGGAGACAACAATGCAGTGTTCTTCCACCTAGATGCCATCTCAGTCTTAATCTTAGCCATTCGTAAAGTGCTAGCTCTATTTAAAGAGTGGATATGTAGGGGAAGGGAAAAAAAAACAAAACCAACCACCCCAAACTGTATGGAATTTGGAAGAAGCTGCAACTACTTTCCATCCGTTCTTTCCTTCCAAGCCAAGAATACAGTGATCCTGGCTGTAGGCCAGCTTCTCCAGCAGCCTGATCACAAGCCCACGGGGAATACTATGTTCAGCACTGGCACCCCCAACATAAGGAGGACCTGGACCTGCTCAAGCAGGTCCAGAGGAGGGCCACAAAGATGATCAGGGAGCTGCAGCACCTCCCCTGTGAGGACAGGCTGAGTTGGGGTTGTTCAGCCTGGAGAAGGCTCCAGGGAGACCTTGCAGCAGCCTTCATTCAGGTACCTGAAGGGGGCCTACAGGAAAGTTGGGGAGGGGCTCTTTAGCAGGGAGTGCCATGATAGGATGAAGGGGTAACGGTTAAAAACTGAAAGAGGGTAGGTTTAGACTAGATATTAGGAAGAAGTTCTTTTCTGTGAGGATGGCAAGACACTGGAGATACAGGTTGCCCAGAGAAGCTGTGGATGCCCCCTCCCTGGGGCTGTTCAAGGCCAGGCTGGATGGGGCTTGGAGCAACCTGGGCTAGTGGGAGGTGTCCCTGCCCATGGCAGGGCAGTTGGAACTAGATGATCTTTAAGGTCCCTTCCAACTTAAGCCATTCTCTGATTCTACACTACCTGATGAGGTAGGCAACAGGAGATGCCTTGAGTATTAACCCACAGCGACTCCAAAACAAACATAAATGCTGAGCTTTACTTAGTCCGAGGCCTTTTCTTACCTTCCATGTGGCCCTAGTGCTGCTGGTGGGACACAGGTACTTTGGAGTTTACAGCCTGGGGCCTTTCAACAAAACGCAGAGCTATGGCTTAGAGCCTCTTCTTGTACAAGCACCGTCTTCTCTAGCTTTTCCTCCTGTAATGTCATGCTTTATGTAGCATAGCCTCATCTTTAATTTATGTGTTAATTCTACCTTGATTACTTCAGGAAGTGCATCTGGGATGAGAAGGGGCTGACATCTTATCTAAAGCAGGCTCCAGGCACCTTTCTTGCACCCAGCCTCAACTCTTGGAATCCTAAAACAGTTTGGGTTGGAAGCAACCTTTAAAGGTCATCAAGTCTAATCCCCCTGCAGTGAGCAGGGAAATCTTTAACTAGATCAGAGTCCCACACCCGACTTGACTTTTCATGGTTTCAGGAATGGGGCATCTACCACCTCTCTGGGCAACCTGTTCCAGTGTTTCACCACCTTCAGCGTAAAAATTTTCTCCTTATATCTAGTCTAAATCGACACTCTTGTCCAAATGAGCCTTACTTAGAAGTCTGTCCCCATCTTTGTTATAAGCCCCCTTTAGGTATTGAAAGGCTGCAATAAGGTCTCTCTGAGCTCTTTTAGTACTTTAGTAGCATTTCTTACTTTCACTATCACTTACTTAGTACTTCACAGCATTGCCAGGTATTTTTTTCCATTTGGAAACCAAATTAATAGGCTTATACTTAAGAAACCAGTGAGACGAAAGAGGCTCTCTCCAAGGCTTAGCTTGGGAAACAGATGTGCAGCAGAAAGCCAGAACCCTGCACCAGGGCTTTCGGTCACAGAGTTGGTGAGGGTTCATGCTCTGCTTTCTCCTCCCCTTGAACATAAGGCTGAAGGTCAGTGGGACCGCTCCTGCGGTGAGCGCACCCACACTTTGTGCGTCGGTTAGACTCGGCTTACACTGTTTGCAGGGACAGAAGCTATGGAAGTGTCACTGTGCTACGGGCTTTCCATTTGGCTCTGAGGGACTAAGTGAGGAGCCACAACATACACTAGGCAACTGCAGGTGCGTTACAATCCTTCTCATTCCAAGGGAGCTAGGCATCATCTCTTAAGGAAAGCTGCCTCTTTCTCTCAAAGTGGTATCTCTGTTATATCCTGGAGGAGGAGTAGTTTTGGGAGGAGGTTTAAGGTCTAGGGATTGTACCTTTCTGTGCACAGTACGATGAAATGCCCACACACAGTCCTGTAGATGCAACTCTCTTCCCTCTTTAGACAGAGCTCCTACACGGAAAGAAGTTGCAGAAGATGCAGCTTCCCCTGTTGGCAAAAACATGGCGAGGAACCAGCTAGCACATCTGGTCTCACCACTATAAACTGGGCCATTCAGTTACAAACAGGGAGTAGAAGTCATATCTGCTCAGCATCAGTGCCTTCTTAGATCTGGGTTCCTTCCCATTCCTCATATGGGCCTGGTACTAAGCCTTATTCAGGTAAACATTTGAAAACAAGTCCACTCTAATACTTGGTCAGGTCAGGCTAGGAAAACGAGACTTAATTCCCATCTTGGTGACTCCATCATGCAAGGATGTCATAATAAATTGATGGTTTTTTGGTCTGGTTACGAAACTGCTCTAGCTTCAGCCCAATCCTCAGAAGAACAGCTTCATCCCACCATTTTGCCATGACCTGGGAGAAGATGAAAGAGACAGAGAGGGGGAAAAGAAAAAAAAAAAGTAGCATCATCATATACAGATGTTCTTGAAAACCCTGCTGAAAATAACTAATGTTTTGGACCCCAAATAGCACCAAAAGGAGACAGGGTTTTCCCTTTTACCCCAGCAAATATGGTGTCAGTGCAATAGGTATAAAGGCAGACTTAATTAAAAAACATTGACCTTTCATTTACATGAGACTCATTTCAAGAGGGAAAAGAGCAAGGAAGGACTTAAATTTAAGTTACAGAACTGAGAAATAAGGAAAGGGTAGTGACAAATAGTGGATACTGATGCAAGGAGACGGGGAGACAGAGAAATCTATCTCCCAGATGCCTGAAAAGTCCTTCTGCCATTCAGGAGTGAGTTACTCCAAGGCAAGTCTCTTCATCCACAAGTTAAAACTTTATTGCCGGTACCTGCAACTCCTCGGGTGTGCTGTGTGGAACAGCAGGGACCTGGTTATAGTGGTTCAGGATGAAGCCAGCCGGGGTTTTTGTGACCCAGCACACACAAATTGCTAATACTTGCCTGGAAGCCAATAGGAAGCCCAGCAGTAGAATATCCAATGGGGACCACGAGGCCTGGAATTCCAGTGAGGTTTCCAAGCTGCATGAACCTGGGGGGGAAGTTGTCGTCAGCATTCCTG